GGGGGGGGGGGGGGGGGTTGGAAAGTGGACATTTGTAGAGGTGGCCGTATTGTACAGGTGTCCATCTCCATCGCGGCACTTAATCAATTGTACCGTGTTCGAATCATACACAATCAACAAGTTATTTTCAAAATTCAAAGTAAGTTTTTATTAAGGCAAGAGTTTCCCAATAGACACAATATTAAAAACCCACAATAAATGAACAACAAGGATTTCTAAGATTTCATCAACCTCTGTGTGTATACTTGATCCATTGTCATACTTTATAAAATCATGTGTCCTCACACTTCTGTGGTTTCTTGGAAATTCTAGACCTATTTGAAATAAGTTCTGTCCAAAACTGAATATATGCTTTCCATCCGTTTTACAATTCATTTTTAAGATACATACTGCTTGTTATCAGTCAGTAAGTAAAGGGAAATATGCCTTTAAGGCCATACTTTTGTTCTGAAGAAGAAAGTAGTTTGGCAACAATTAACACCAACCCTAATGACTTCACCGGTCACAGTCCAATGACATACATGGTGTCCTTTTACTTATAACTATACCGAAGTGGAATGTGAAATCAAATCACTGTTATGAGCAAGTACAAGTAGGAACTCATAAATGACAATAACAGTCTATCTTGAGATGAAAAATTGAAAATGTGAGAGCACATTAATTTTTTACAAACAGTTGTGGAAATGGATGAAACACTGGAATTACTTAAATTTCTTGAAATATATCCAAGGTATTTACAAAGGTATTTAAAAAGAAAGAAACCAAACAGTCAAGATAATATGAATACCCATCTTTAAAATTCTAGCATGCACTTAACTTGCACAACTTGCATAATTTGCACTCTTTCACTTTCCTTCCACCATTCACCTCCTATCTTAATTATAAACACCACTTTGCATTCTTATCACACCATGTTTATCGAAGAGAAATGAAGCATGTCAGCTCTGGCTGATAGTTTGAATAAAACAGAGGCATGGGTTCAAGGCACACAAGATAGAGTACAGTCGAACCTGTCCGTAAAAAGATTACTCAAGATCACAGAAAAAAGTGACCATTACAATTTTGTGGCTCCTAGGGACAGGGTCTGTGTAATGGTCACTTTCTTGGCTTGACAATGTCAACAGATGGTTTAAAATATGAAATTTTGATATAATTAAATCTTTCCTTTTCATTTCTCGACAAAAATGTCATCTATTGAAAGAGTTTCTTTGCACTGATTGAATGTAAACATTCAGTCTGAGGTCTGGTTGCCAGAAAACTTTAGTAGTAAGTGACCGCTTTGAGCAGTCTTAAGGCCGACTTGACACGAAAACTACTAACTATGTCCACTTTGGACAGGGACTACTATGGACAGGTTAAAAATAAGGAAAACACAAAAGTGTCATGGAGCCATGGCCTATAGCTCAGGTGATTGCTACGAAGAGGTGACTACTAAGGCAGGTTCAACCGTACAAGTACACTAGATTGAAAGATGACTCATCACAGATATCAACAAACTTAGCACTACAATACATGCAGGCTGACACTGAAACTGAAGAAAGGTGTTACAGAAAGGCATCATTGATTGGCATTCAGATCATTCAAACCATTCAATAGATTCACTATGACTTGCACGTGCACTCGCTCTCTTATCAGAGATTCTGTCCAGTTAATTGGATATCCTGCTGTGATGCAGTACCCTGAGTTTAACATATTTGTGGTCTCAATAAAAGAACTTATTCTTAACCGCTTCACTGCTGCTCGGCGTGCGGTGTACGTCCATAAATTGGGCCCTCCTAAGCGCTGTAGACGTACAGTGTATGCCCGGCAATATCGCTATTTTGTTTCGTTTTCTACTCAGCCGGTAACTGCAATTTAGTATCGAGAGTGGGCTCCCCTGAAAGCTCTTTTCTTCCCGAGATAACTTAGAGAAGCTTTAGTTTGCCTTAGATAGACCAACAATGACCGAAATAGTGTGAATTATAGCGTCACTGAACAGTCTCTCTCTTTTCACAGCTCTAGCGTCTCACTCAAGCTCCGAGCTATGGCTGATCACTCACGATGTATGCTCTTAAAGTATCAAGCTATCAAAGAAATTTTTGCTGATGATGATAGCGATTCATTCATTTTCCTTTAAATTGATATAGACATTGTTATGCATTCAATGCATTACCACAGAGTAGATAGCACTTTTAAAGGATCACCCATTTGAGTGCTATTCCAGGAAACAAGGTCATCATAGGGTGAGGAATATAGGTCAGCAGTGAAGGGGTTGATCATTGATAGTAAAAGTTTATGGCACAGTTGACGAATGTCTTGTTTTTGTAGTTAGTGTATTGAAAGTGTGACCATGAATGTAATATAAGTCCCATCAGCATTAAAACAAAAACCGAGAGCAGATCTGAGTCTATGGAAAAATCATAAAAGATGATTGATATGAAACTGATATATTATATACTATAAAAAGACAGAAACGCGATTATATTGAAAACCCAAGGTACAAGCATCAAATGTCCCTATAAAGAGAAGAGAACCAACAGTTCAAAATAAGGAATGGAATAAACCTACCATTTTTGTGCGATAAGACTTTGCTGACTTGAAAGAGTATGTTTAGTCCTCCGAACAAACTGTTGTTGGTAATGTTGAAAAGTACACTTTTCAGATAGATTCACAAAAACTCTATTGTACTTGAAGGATGAAATATTTCCAAAAATCTTAAGTTCTTAAAATATCTTCAAAATGTTTTTTCTTACAGTCCAGCTTAAACACAAAAATTATGGTAAACTTTTAAACTGAATGAAATATATTTAATTTACATGTATCAGTAAAATAAACAAGCATAAAATTTGGCAGAGCATTGATTTACAATCAGGTATATGCTGGAACCAATCCGTGAAACATAAACTACATTAATTAAATTTAAAGTATGACAGACTTGACTTAAACAGGCTTTGATGGAAGCTTGCCTCTTAATTCTAAATGACCTAAACAGTGGTTTCCATATCTTGATATTAAATTTAGCATGGTGCGGTGAGTATTTTCAAAGGCAAAAAAGACAATATTATTACAATGTGCTTATACCATGACTATAATGTAGCAACATAGGTCCTTATCTCTGCAGGTGTTCAGTTATGGGAAATGGAGACAGAATCTCTAAAGAAATATGACATCCTCTTCTGGCCCTCAGCTGCAGAGGCTAAATACAAATTGTCGAAATCGGCCAGCCCGAAAGTATCAGTTCCTATAGCGGCAAAACCATTAGCGGGGCGTCTGGGCATCCCAACAGTACAGACAGTCTTGCCATCAAAAGCTCCTGTGATGGTTCCATTCTAGGAAGTATGGAAATATAAGGAAATAAATCATATTATAATATAAGCCTATAAAAACTGTCAACATTCACTGTACGGAAGCAGAAACAAGACAGGGATGCCTCGAAAAGAATAAAACTTGTTTTATGTTAATGTAATGGTTGACTTAATCCTAAAGAAGGCTCGGTGCCTCAAAAGATATGATGTTTGCTTGTCAACCCAGAGGTCTGGAATTCGATCCCCACCAGCGTCAGGGTTTTTCTCGGGTTTTTTACACCTTTTGACCCTAGAATAGGTAAAATCTAGCACCTAGTCTTCACAGATAAGAAATCGAAATTTCCAAAGTCCCTTGTGGAAGTTTCTCATTCTAAAGATTGCTTGGCAGTTCTAAAATAAAAGAAAGCAGGCAATTAAGTCAAAATTCAAAATAAATTCCAACTCAAAACTGAGTGAAAGTCACTCCTGATAGTTTGAAAATTAAAAGGCACCTGGCTGCCTGTCACCCAAAGTATGATCTTACATTCTACTGTCCCCGTGGTTTTATGCACCCCGAATAATTTAGCAAAATTTGATCATTTTTTGCATAATTTCTGATTATTTTCCTTTAACATTCTTTGTTAAAATTAACAGAATCGCATAATTTCACATTTTTGGGCCCAGTTTGCATAATTTCAGAATTTTTCTTGCATAAAACGACGGAGACAGATTCTATACATGTATAGATAAATTGGTTCTGTGCATAAAAGATCTTACAATACAATCAGTCGTTCTTCCCCCCCGCCAGAAAGCAAAATTTTACAAGAGAGAGAAAAGTTTCATTCCTCTAACAACTATACCTCTACCTTGTTTATTTTTTCTAGCTTTTTTCATTTTCAGTATTTAGAATTTAAAAATTAAATTTCAGAAAAATATTTCTTGAGCACATGCACACAATACTGAAGAAAAAGAAACGGCAATTAAAAAAATTCCAGGCTTAGAACATTCAACTGACCAACGTATAGTCAAACGTGACAAAGATGACCACCCATTGTCAAGGAGAAGACATTCATCTTAGACGGGTGGTTTAATTGGACAGTGTCATAATAATAAAGAAAAAAAAAACTAAATGGGGGGGGGGGCTTTTTTACTTTACAGGTGATTGACTATCTTGGAGAGGTGGTTGAGTAGGTTGGACCGTATAACAAAATTTTGCTTGACACAAAAACATGAAACTGATTAATGCAAGTTTATAGGCTACTACTGTCATGAAACAAACCATTTTATAAAGCTCATGAGATAATATTCTGGAAACACAGGAAACAGCATCAATTTTACTGAGCATGAAAAGTCTCTCCTTCGCCTCTTTTGAGGATCATAAAAAAAAGCAAACATTTTTCACCTACGCCTGTGGCACACAGGATTCAAGAGACTTCTTTTTTTCAGGGGGGGGGTTTAAGTGTTTTACGGCGCTCGCAACTGCATAAAGTTATATGAGTGTGCAGACACATCAAACATTTTTAGTTGGTAGGAAATTGTGAATTTCGCCCAGGTGGCGGCCGAAGCCTACTGTTATCTATTTTGGACCACCAAGGGATCTTTAACATGTGCAACTTGCACACGGGACTTCCGAGATTTTTTCGCCCTTGTCCGAGAAGGCTAGTTGTAGATCTTTCTACCAGAAGATCAGGGGTGTGGCTGAAAGACAGCAGTAAGGAGCCAAGGAGTAGCAGTAGAAAGATTCAAGAGACTACAGTATGTGGCATAGATAAATTCTAAAAAGTAAAGAGCACTGACAAAATGAGGAAAATTAAAATCCCGCAATAACTATCAAAAATGGTTATAACTTTCAATATCTGACACATTGTGTAATCAAAAGTAGAGAATCTATCTGCAATAACAATCTGCAATAGCTGTTATTTTCAATATCTGACTATATCTGATACATTGTGTTATCAAAGGTAAAGAATTTATGTGCAATAACAATCTTTTACAAAAATGGAGTCCAACCTTTGACCCAAAAAACACTAGAATTTACTTACCTGAATGAGTAAAGAGAGTTTATGCCACTCTCCCAGCTTGAACGACAATGGGCCCTCTTTAAGTACAGTTACTCTTGCTGCAATAAAATGCAATATAAAGTCTTGTAATACTAATACTGCTTAGAACTGACAGACGAAATCCAAATTCAAACTGAAAGAAGAAAAAGGGTTGAGTACAGAGTACACTACAGAAAGTAAAAGGATTTTTCAAAGGAAGTGTATACAGACCCGGTAACCGGGAACAAAGTCACAAAGTATACAGCCCCGGTAGGGGAACTCTTTTGTGATTTCGGAGTGTCTGCGCCCTCTTGGCTCAGGGTAGACCTAGATTAGGTTCTTCTAGATCTGTGGCCTACGTCTAGATCAAGATCTA